AATCCTTTGGAATCCAGGAGCACTAAGATTCAGGTTTGTCTTTGTTTTTTATTATAATCTCCTTTATTACAAAGAAAAAGTCGAGATTTTTTAGTTCCAACAAACAGAATGCTATCAAACAGATGCTGAACTGGAATTAAGTAAACCATATTTTCTGAACTAATTTATTTACAGTGCACATGAAATTTCATGATACATTACAGCACAGATCAAGGACTCTTACTCGAAGTATAAGAGCTTATTACTAAAGAATTCATGGATAAAAATGTATTTATTATTGAGAAAAATAATTACTGAGGATCTGCTAATAACCAGAATGATTTGTTTTTAATCTAACTCCAAAGTTCTTAAATGCCATCACAATTCTTGAATTTAAGAAAATTTTTATGTTCTTACTTAAAATAAAAATTTGTATATTGAATATCGTTCCTCCCTATTGTCCATAAATAAATGTTTCAATAATTAGATTTCATGAAATGGAGTATCGATAATTTCTGCTTGATTACATTTCATTCGGGTTACTTGATAATAACAGTACTTCAAAGTCGGTTTGTAAATAATTTTTTCTTTTATTTTGCCGGCAAATCATTACATAACCTATGAAATAACAAGGAGAAAACGAACAACTTTGTTGTGAAATTTACAAAATTTTTGATATGAAATAACAGACTTTATAATATCATCTTTTTTAAAAATATAGAATTAAGCTTTCCATTTCATGTGAAAATAATTTCGTCAAAGTCATGTGTGTTTTATTTCCCTCCCTGCCATGAACAGCGCTTTTGAATCATGTACAAAATACAATAAGGTCATTCATGATAATAATAGATAAATTTATACATAGTGAATTTTTTTTTCTGTTTAGTTCATAACGCTTGAATGAATTACAATTTACCAAAACACAATTAATGTCATATTGTATATGGAATCATAAAATGGAACTACGTATTTATTTATTTATGCATAAAAGTGATTGTTTTTCGTTCCGGTTTCATTTTCAAGTGCATTAATTTAGAATTAATTTAGAATTATTTAGTGCTTTTAACAGTTAAATTACCATCATTATTCCCGTTATTGTTAATAGCTTCGTTTCATATTAATTGTTCAGTGAAAAAAAAGAAAGCCTAATTAATTGTGAACATTTTAGGTTATTTAATTTGGATTAAAATATGACGTAAATAAAAGTATTTATATTGAGAATAATTATATCATTGACAATTGATCTTTTTTTGAATATCTGTTCAAAAAACCATGTATTTTTTTAGACAATTAAATTAGAATTAGAACTAAACGAGTGTATAGTAGTGATACTTTGTGAAAAATTCAATTTGAATAGTTCACTGATAAAATCTATTCAAGCCAAACATTATACCAGATAAATAGATGAATAAAACTAAATTGTCTACCACTACGATTACTCTTGATTTGTTTTTTTTTAAATGAATTTATCTACTTTGTATGACATGTGTTTACTCTTCCGAATCAGAATAATAAGTTAACCATGAAATTTCAAAAACGTTCCAATAAAATAGTAACAAAGTGAAATATGTAGCAAAAGTGTTTTGTTAATATTTTAATCAAAACCCAAATTATCTGATTGACTTTTTTAAATCGCTGTCGCAATAATAACTCTGTTTTCTATTCAACACCTTTACATACTGTAAACATTTATTGAAGAACTAATATAATTCAGTATTTTAAACCAAAGCAACAGTATCCTTTCATTAGTTAGTACCGAAAGATTGGTATTTTATCCTTATTTTCAGGATCAAAATCTCTTTTAACAGTGCCAGTAATAGCCAAAACGTTGTTGTTCTGTAAAAAGTCTCTACATGCTATACTTTTTTCTGCTAAACGAACGCAACATCTAAATTCCTATCCACTTCTGATAACGTCAGATTAAATCTACACTATAACTGGAACGCAAGAGAAAAAGAGTGAATTGTGAGATCACTTTACTCCAAGATTAACTAGCAGGTGTTTATAGCACTAATCATGACCTCGGGCTTTTGGAAGGCTCGAGAGCCATACCAAATATACTAACAATTGAGTCAAATATCCAGTCAGGATCATGATACATGATTCAGCATAATCCAGTAGTTTCTGCGAAATTTCTACTCAGTGTTGATCAGATCTGGTGTTTCTGAGTCTCTAGAGAATTTTCTGAGGGATTTTCCCGGGGCACTCCAAACAGAATCAATCAATGATTTATTTTTATTGCCGAAATGTTATCAATTCAAGTTTACGTGTGTATTTCAAGTAAATCTAAGCTAAAAATTCGAGATTTTACTTGCATATGTTGTTCAATATTGGACAAGTTAAAAAAAACTAAATGATTCTGTTCTCTGAAAAACTCCCATAATATTAAATAATCGTATTGCATTTACAAATGTTATTTATCCTAGTTTTTAACTGTGACAAAATTGCCTCATATATATATATATATATATATATATATATATATATATATATATATATATGAAACATACGACCAGAAAACCGATATTACGAATAGTATTGTGTTTTTTGAACGATAAGACTTCTATCATGAATAATTTAAACAAATAGACATTTTCTGTCATCAAATAATTCACTTGAAAAAATGATCTTTTAATTAAGTATTAATGAACTATATTTATATTGATGTAGGTTTTTGGTTGAATCTGTATGTTTTCGAAGCATTGAAAAAAATAGATCCTTTGATAAGATAAACCATATGATGTCATTATTTCATAATGAATTATTCATTTGACATAATGACAACAGGGCAGTGAATTTTGGTTCAATGATCAATCTATAAGTCATACGATTAAATATATATGTTGATTATTATTATTACTGTTTGCAATGTTTGAAGCAACGAAAATTCACTAAAACAAGCTTAATGATATCAAGTCGGTTGATCTACTGAAACTTTTCATTTGGAACTAGATGGAAAGAACAACACACCAACTAATTGTATTCGCTAAATATTGATTTTAAAAAAAAGTTATTCACTAGTGACTGAAAAAATCTTTCATTGTATAAACTTTATTACTGATGAATAGGTTTCATTTTAAAATGAACACTGGACACGGATATCTAGATACCATAATTGATAAATTTATTTTTTGTCTTACAAAAATGGAATCAATGCTTTTCTAAAACAAAAACTTATGTTATCTTGAATGAAAATTTATTGTGACATTTTACATGCCAGATAATATAACTAACAATGTTTTATTGATTTTATCGAGATTAAATTAATGGTCAAAATAGTAAACAGGATATGGCATGGACATAGCTGAGAGGGAATAAACTATCAGAAAGTTTTATATGTAACAGTATATTTTACTAAATTGGAAAAACACGATTCAATAACATAACATTTTGCGCTGTAACATTCTGTATTCTATAACACTAGATAATTTTCAAAAAGTCAGCAAAATGCAAACAACACTAAGGAAATTACATAATTTAGTACAATGTCATCGTAAGTGTATCAATCAGCCTAAAATACAAATATATGCATAAGTTGATCTTAACATGAGTAGTGGTGAAATGGCGTGATAAAAAAATAAAGTTACATCTTTAACTCATTGTGATTTTTGTCCAACAAAGCTTCCACACTTAATTCACTATTACTGTGTATCTTTTAACATATGACGTTATTCAATTCATCAATACGTGTCTTATTTTATTCTCTGTAAAACAATACAATAGTTACGGACTTATAAATGTAGAGTTCATAAAAACATGTACATTATTAGTTTCATTCAAGATTGGATATTCATTGTATGAAATTAACACTAACCATGACATACACTATGCCATTTCGATATAATTCTTTAGTTAAATGAGTGTACAATCCAACAAATAAATGTGTTTTCGTCTAGAGTCCCTATGAATGAAATTGCTTAACTCTTCACTTGTGCTGGATATTTCTCATCTTACTTAGCTTCGTGAAACCTACAAAGATTCCTCCTTTTCAAGTATGAGCAATAAGAACGATGTGGATAAAAAAATTTACTGACGGTAAAATAAATCGGAAAATGTTTGTCAGCTGATGAACTCAATGATCTTCGGTTGATAAATAAATAATTCCTTGAATTCTAAGTGAATCTTATCAATCAAATCTTTGGTTTATTCAGTAAATGAAGTAGATTCATTTGTATGTCACGTTATAAATCGAAATCAAAAGGATGTTCTAAATCTTTTACTGGATCAATATAACCTGAACTAAAGTAGGGAAACCTGTTATAAAACTGCTGTTTAAGACAAAAGTTTAATATTTTTAGTAGTAAAGTTACGTATGCAGTCATGAATATCTGATTGGTAATCTCATATTTAAAAGACTTCTGGAACAGGATAGAACCCCACAATTCATCCAACTTTAAAGGTGCGATTTGGGTGACAAACATCAACTACATTCAGGGTTTCTTGCAACCTACTTGTAACCATTTGAAATATTGTATCCATTGAGCAAGTTGACACATTTTGTGACTCAGTAATCATGTTCAAACGAAGCATCGGATGGCGATTTTCAGTAGCAATAAATCCATCAATTTCATGATGTATTAACATGACGATTCTCAGTTAGGATGAAAATCACCTCGTGTATTCAAAACGTAAGCACATATCATGTAGTAACTCAATTATGATAAATAGTAGCATCTAAAAAAATGTTTGAAACTGTTTAGAAAAAATACAAATTAAATGTCTTTAATCATAAAAATATTAACTCCATTTTTATTCTTCATGACTCTACAACTCAGTATCGATGCGCTGTTTTGAAGGTATATACATGGTTATTACTACTTTAGACGTTCCAACACAGTGAAAGATAAAAATGCCACAGAAAATCTGAACATTTTTTATGTACACAGCAAACTTTCATTTTTTTTAGAATGGTAACTGAATAAACATATTTAGTTGACACATTAGACAGTGTATACTAGTCAAACATGACAAGTTAACGAGTTTGCCTAATAACAGTTTAATCTTTTTTTTTATCATTTTAGATTCATTTCACATATTTGTTGGTGATCTAGCTCCCGAGGTACAGGATGAAACGTTGTTGGCAGCATTTTCCAATTTTGGGACAATTACGTAAGTCAATTGTTTTCAGAATTAGTCGATTAATTTTTATATCATATTATATGCAAATTGACATTTATTTCTATTTTCTCTAAATATACATCCGTAAGACAAGGAATTCAGGAATGTCAGAATGCTGATCAATAATGTCGAGCAGTAGGTTGAATAACATTAGAATTGTGATAAAATATAGTTTAACTAGAGTCTACAATATGTCACAAAGACTGCTTAAGACATCGTTCAGATAAAGACAGTTTACCTTTGATATGATGTTTTTGACCTATTCAAAATAATGCTATCAATAACTATTAGCTTAAGTTTATATATGAATACATTAAAGTTGGACAATGGCTAAGATTAGAATCCAGCATGAGTGGTTTTACTCTGTTTAGAAGTGATTATCTAAATACACTTGCATCCCAATTTTGATGTTCATACGAAGATTTGACTTACATAACTACCGCTTCAGAGATCAATGTTTTATCCATTAGGCAGTTAAGTTCTTGGCGATTCGTTTTATTTTATTTGGCACTGATTGGCTATATACAATCGAAAGTACATCAAAATATTAGTAATACTGCGCAGAAACTAATGCGAATTCCTGTCTTTATCTTCTGGCGCAACATTCTTCAAAAGTACAATTTTAAAAATCACAATGAATGATAACGACGGAAAATACAACGGAATAAAAAGAATTTCTAATGATGATTAAAAAAACGTATCGATCAGGACGGTACCATCATATTGTACAACATGAATAATTTTGTTACATAATTTAATCATATTCTATTCAATGTTTTTAAACTAAATTTATATTTCTTATTAATATTTGATACACTATGCTTTTTACTCTGACATTCACTTGTAACCAAATAGTTGGTTTTGTGTATAAGCTCATTCAAATGCATTGATAATTTTATTTTCTAATGTTTAAAAGATTAAATGAATTTTTTTTTTTTAAATTTTAAATAAGCAATGAGAGTCAGTCAAAGGAAATAAAAATGAATTTCTGTTATCTTTAAAGCATGTCTTCAATTGTTCACATAAAACAATCATATGCACTAGAAAACAAACATACTGAATTATTTAATTGTTACATATTTAAATGATTTCGTTTTCTTTTGTGCGGTTAACATTTATTTGTTTCATGGTATCAGTGTACTTAATATGAAGAATATTTAAAATAAACTATTTTTGCTATAAAAAAAGAGAATAATGAAATCGCACTACGAGGTTGGGAAGATCGTTAAGTTACACATTTGGAATTATGAATCGATCAATGTTAATTCACCATTAGAAACCTGGAGGCACTAGACGTTAGATACTGGCTAAGTAAAGGAGAGGTTAGGCGTTCGCGCGCAAGACCAAAGGTCCTGGATTAGAATCTTACGAGGCGCAGAGTCGTGGATGCGCATTCATACCAGGATGAAACGACCGTCCAGTGCTTCCAGTTTTCTAATGGTGGTCTAACACTGATCGATTCATGATTTTAAGTAATGAAATTGCACATTTTTTTACCATCATACTTATTATTTGATTGTCAAGTTTTACATTTTGATAGGAATTATATTTTTGCTCTTACCAGCTAGAAAATAACATTTCATGTTTACGATAACTTTGGATATAAAGTGTCATATCCATGTTTTTGTTAGTTTGTGATTTGTTAAACATGGTATCGTTTCTAGTTTCATTTTTTATAAGGCATGATAAGGTACACTACATGGCTAGGACCTTGACAACTGTTTATATGAAAGAACAGTTGTATTAACGTATGACCATCGTCAAGATCCGATGTAAATAGTCAATTTATTTGCTGAGACATGCAAGATTTAATTAGTTTTGTTCACAATTTTTTATCATTAGTGAGTCGATTCGGAAACCAGATACGCATACACATAGATTACTTACTCAGTTTGCATCGATTAGTCATGGCATAGAAATAAATCAAAATGTCAGATCGATACATATTTACATTTCAAACGAAAAAAAATCATTAGGAGTATAATGCGATTCAAACAAATTAAATCCCAAGTCCTATTATTGGTATCGACTAACTATTAAAAACTCAAGGTGGAAAACTGTGAACTTTTATTCCATCCTTGTGACTAAAAGCATCTTCCTCGTGAATCCTACCACTGACAGATAAAGTGTGTTTCTAAAGCCAGTTTGACGTTTTACATATTGTAAGATTACATTAATAGACGAAAGAGCACTCACTAGAAATGTTACAGCTGTTCAACAATCAAATGACTACTAACTGTTAAGCTTGTTTCTATGTACGCTTAAAACTATTACGGGTTCAGCTTAGTCGAATAACGAGAACAAAACAATGAACCAGTGTCCACGTAGGCTACTCTGATCCGATTGTCCCGATTGTACCAGCAAGAATTCTTGATATAGCGTACAAAGTGTATTCTACAAACACCCAGCCAGTACACAATGAATCCAAGCACTCAAATTGCTTTTATTTATACTCCATAGAGACGTCCTTGGAACAGTCACAAAAATAGCACACTAACATGCTACAGTAACCAATCACAGCCAAGGATTTTCCTGGTGGGAAATGAAATCTCAGGGTCAACTGATCAGCCCATAAATAAAATTCAAAATAAAGATATTTATCAAGCGAGTTCTAGGGATCTAACATCCCCGACACAAACAATGCTGTTAACCAATGACAGATGATGTGTAGATATTTAATTTGTTTAATTAGAAGATAAACAATTTTTAGTCATCTCAATGAAATTAAAAATAAACACTTATTATTAAAAATTTCCTCAGAGCAATTCGTTTGTTTTTTTGTTTATTTTTCAAAATTGACATTGAAAAACATAGATAACTGTTAGTTATATAGTTCTTCTGGTTTTTACAATTTAATTACCCACTAATGAATTCATACACATGGCAACCTGTGTCAACAACAAATTATCCAAAATTGAAAAGTAATTAAATCTTTCTTCCTCATTAATTTCTTTCTTCCTGCCTCATTTCAATTCATTTGGATGCGTTTTTTGACAGAAAAAAATAACAAAATTTAATTAACACAAACAAAATTGGGATGACAGAAATTAAAATGGAAACAATGCAGTTTTACTCAATTTTTATCGTTAGAAAAAAAAGTATTCCGTTTGATCTGTTTTTTTTAATATGGAAAATGTCAATTTTAGAAAAAAAATATATGACGAATAAATTGAATGAAAGATGAAAAAAAGTATTAGGTAATTGATTTTTATGAAGAGAATAAAGTTTCTTCTCAAAATAAATATTAACTATTCATTGTTTACAGTGAACAGTTAATATTTATTATTTCATATGAATTTCTGATGATAACCACAATAAAAATGATAGGCATCTTAAAAAACACTGCTATAATCATGAAGATGACAGATGATATTCAAATCAGTTCAGTACGCAGCAGTGAAGAAAAAGTTTTGAGAAAAATGTTACAGACAAACTTCAATGATTACTGTTTTGTTTGCTGTTTGGTTCTCTAAGCTGGGAGTTTTGGTTGTGGAGCGCAAACTTCAGAGGTTTGTGCTGATGATGTTGTTCAGAAGAACAATGAAAGCTCCACAGCCAAAACACCCAGCTCAGATAACGAAACAGCATCACCACAATCATCCACCTCAGCTACAAATCTTCTCCACCATCCCTAATAAACTATCTATTATCTGACAAGCTATTGCATATCGGTCGATCTTTAAGTGTGTAGATGACAGATAGATGGTGAATTGATTTTTGGGTAACTGTTCACTTATTATTTCGATTCGACTGACTTTGAATAGAATAAAGGCCTTCAGCAGGTAATGAGTATACACAGAAGCGGAACGTCCAAACGTCTTTTTTATTTCAACAGAGTTTGTTATTGAATGAGATGAAGTTGCTAGTGAACCATTTACAATATATTATGTAATAATAGTCTTATGCTCTGATGTAACATATCTTAAGATAATTTATTTGTATCAGTTCATGGAACACTTGCAGTGTCCACACCAATTTTACTCTAACAGTAGAGAGTAAAATTAACTTGAAATGTCTAAAATTTCATTAACCTTGTTTGTATATAGACAGAGTAGATTTTTTTGTAATGCTGTCGGTAGTCGTGGTAAAAAGATTGAGGTCTAAGCATATGCTGCATTTATTGTCCATCTTCTTCCAATCTTAATTTCTAATATTAATATATTCTGTTGCGTCTCTAGATGTTATTATTTTTTGCAAATGCTTCTAAACATATTATTATTATAGTGGGTTTTTGACACTATCGAGCCTAAAATTATACATCTGGGACTGACATCGATTAGATACTCAATGAAAACCGAGAATCACTCCATATCTCTGTGCATAACAATGAAATACTTTTATAATATACACCTAATACCCTATAGGAATTCCGATTATTGTCAGTTCACCACATCATGCAACTGTAATGCTTTTCTACCATCAAGGGCATTTATATCAATTTTTACCTTGACTAGTTGACGCGATTCAATTAGTTTCGATTAACTCACCCATTTAACACGTAAAACCAACTGGACAATATTAGTTTAAATCATACTATACGTTGGATTTTGTTTTAAAAAACACCTATTAATTATTAGTATAGTACTTTATTTCGGAATTTTACAAATTTACCGTTACTTGAATTCTTAGTTATTTTCTCCTGACCACAATGAACTAGTTTATTTAATACTGACAATGTACTACTCATTTGAATAGATAAACAAAACTGCTGAATAACAATTGTATTTTGACTATTATTAATACGAAAAAAAAGAAATTCTTTTTTTAAGATTGATTAAATAAATTCACAGAGATAAAAAAAAAATAAGTAAAGAAATTTCATCCCTAAAGCTATAGGTATGTATGTTTTCCCCTGTTTTTTTTTCTTTTGGTTTTAGTGATTTTTATTTATTCTCTTACTGTTTTCTTTTCTTTTATTTTGTATTTCACTATGTACAGAAAAACACAAAAATGAAATTAAATTTAAGTTTTTCATAGATCACCATCTTCAC